ACAGACGATGTAGCTCCTGATTTTTTACGAAAAACTGGATTTGGGCATCCTGGTTAAAATTTCTTTCTTCTATTCTTCCTAAACTAGATTATTGTTGCGCCTTGTATGATAGTTCGTTTTCTGTTATTGTTCTTGATTCTGTAAACAAACTTGCTTCTCGTGTTATTTCTCTTAATTTTGACTATCGTTCTTCTAACTCTTTACTTGTGTCTCAACTGTCTCTACCAGATCTGTCACCTCGTCGTAAATATTTTTGACTGATACAGTTTTTCATGAGTTATCATCGTCTTAGTCCACTTTCTTCTTTTTATGATGTTCTTTGTCCTTATTTGGAATGATGACAAAGGAAGAACAATATGTTCGTATTCCACCGCCTGAAAACGGTTTTTCTCCACAAACAGTTTCGTCTTCCTTCTTTTATTCAACTTGCACTGACTAGGATAATTTTCCGGAATCAGTCGTTCGTTCTTCTTCATTATTGCCATTTAAAATATCTTTATCTCAGCATCTTTCAGTAGAACATAGCCATATTTACAGTTAAAAACAAAACCAGTGCTGTTACTCTTTATTTTATTTTTTTTTTTTTTTATTCTTTCTTTACTATCTCTCTATCTGTACACTAGTTTACGTTTTATTTTTATTTTTTCTATTTATAAATTCTTTTTGTTGATGTTTGGCTCGAGTCATTGTTTTATAGGTCGGGAACCATTGACGGCTCTCACTTTTCGTGAATAAATTCATGCATTCATTCAATCGGTTCTTCAACCTAAAAATAGCCCCGAGAATTTAATGATAAGATTTGATATTAGTTCAAGGCTCCTAGTTTTAAAAATTCTTCTTTTACTGCTCTTTTTTTACGTGGATTATATGACTCATCGTAAAGGCGCGCGTTGAAGGGAAGAATAAGTAGCGCTGCGATAAAGTTTGTATCATTGGTTGTTCTTTGGCAAACTGTAATTCGTATTTGTTTAATGTGAAGGTGTTGGCAAGATACCTTAATTCTTTATTCAAATAATGGATATAAGCTTTCTCTGAAAAAAAGATCAGGTTACTTTGAGTATAAGCCAGCTCTTACTGAAAAATAATTCAAATAGTTGACATTAAACAATATGGATACGATGGACTTTCTTGAACCAAAATCTCTTTTTAGACCAACTCATTGGAGCAAGGAAGTGGAAAATGCTTATCGATTTCAACTTGCCGGCTATCGTGATGAGACAGAATATAAAGCATTACGTAAAGTAGCTCAAGTAAGTTGCTAAATTTATTGCACATTTAGTAAAGAAATCTCGTGCCTTAATTGTATATCTAGCAGGTGTAGCTTAATCATTTTTCTTAATTTTCTATTACGAGGTTTGCTTATCTCGTTAATAGTAGCAAGTAACTTTCTGTAATAAATCGTTCTTTTTTTTAAAGATAGATAAATGGCCAGATTCTGGGTTTGTGAAAAAACTTCAACGGCGAAAAGATGGCTATTTTTACTATTTTGACAAAGAACGAGAATGTCCAGACAAAGAAATTAATAAATGTAAAATTTACTCATACTGATTAATATTTAAAACAGACTAATTTTACTTTTTATAGTAACAATTTTGTTGTATTATTTCATTACTGTTTAGCTTCTACAGATATATGTTTTACCAAAACTTGTTCTGTCTTTATTTTATGTTCATATTTCCTTTGCGAACGAAAAGGTTCAGCTTGCGTAATAATAAATTATTACGTGACAATAAATTCAATCTTCAAACCAGTAGTTTGAATATATAATGCGTACTAGTTCTATTGCACTTGATGAGAATCAGGTACAAGTAAGCAGATGATTGAGAAAAAAATGACATATTTAGTAGAAAGGTTCTGTAAATGTCTAGAAAAGTTGAACTTACATACAAAATAATGCAAGTGGGACTGATAATATTGCATAAAAATTGTTTATTCTTCTACAAATTACTGGTTTGTATGTCAGAGCCTCGGATTTCATTGTTGTTAATTTCCTTCAACTTGATTTTGAGTTATTTCTTGTAATATTGTTTAATGTACATATTGAATAGTATGTTTGAACTGCAAAATCAATTGTTCATCATTTACTTTTCAACGACAGTCCGTCATTATTTGTGCTGAACGTTTGTTCCAGCTTAATTTTAATTAAAATATACCATTTGCGCTTCGTTAATTGTATATGGTAAATTTTATCAACATGGACCGAGACATGGACAAGTCCAAGTACAGACTTGCCGAGTTTCTTAGTTGAGCTGGATTTCAACTCGAAATTTAGAATCAGCATTAGACTTGGGCTTAAACCTTTCTTAATCGAGTCCAGCTTTCGTATTATTGTTTATGCTAAGCTTTAGGCTTAAGCATCGAACGGATATATTAAGTTTTGAGTCAAATGAAACATCATGGAAGAAAAATACGATCAAAAATTACGCTTGGATACTTGGATACTCACCCTAATCAAATATAGTTAAATAGGATGAAAATGTTCGTATCACTGGGATGAAAAATCCTCGACTGAAGTTGGGCTTCGAAGTTATAAAGTAATAATATTTTAGAAGAAACCTTATAATATGTCTGTTGCAATTTTTATGTAATGTCTGTTTTTCATCGAGTTAAACAGACAAAAAATATTGTAATATACGAAGTATCTATGTGACCATCGTCACTATTTATTATCTTGTATTTATTAAGATTCGAGACTATAATTCGTAATAATTACGGGTTGTACATTTGATAGGTATAACTAATTCGAAATATAGAAAATTAATATGTAGATAACATGTATATTGTATAAATAGTTAGAATTGATGTTCTCGACGAATTTTGTTATTTTAAATGCGCCTTTGTATATATAAATTGTTTATTGTTTAATAACAGCTGTTATTTTAGAATTTAAATAATTATCGACTATTCTTGAACAAATATGGAAAATCCCTAAAATTAATTAAAGCAAACTACAGTTGACTATTTGCGAATACATCGTATGGATGATGTACTCAATAATATTTCGGCAGCATTGATCCATAAGAAATCAGGTAAAATATAACAAAATTCTTGTATTTTTCTTCTACAATGATTTCTTTCTCAATTTTTGTATTTTTTTGTATTTTAAAACATCCCAAATAGTTTATGATCGATTTCCTAGAAAAATTGAAAAAGGCCCAATCATCTGATTTTGTTCCTTCAAGTTTAATTCAGGATAATAATATCAATTTTATGTTTCGTTAGATTCAGTGAGTCGTGGTTATATTGCTTATACTCAATATATTTCTGGTAAATAAACATAGTTTATTTTTCAAATAACTTAACTTGACATATTCGGAAATAAAAACTCATGCCTTATTGCATTACTTTAAATAACTCCTTTTACCGTCCATTAACATATTTGATGAAGTAAACAGTAACTAATGTTGACTATATATTCTAAAATCTGCAACGAGATGCCCTTTTACGTATCTGTTGAAAGAGTTGATTGGCGCGAACAACATATTCTCTGAAAAGTCAAGCTGAATATTTTGCAATGAGTTCTAAAGATTACCTTTTATGGATAATCATGGTTGTCCCTTACGGTGAATACTTTTTAGCCGAAAAGCAAACATATTCCGCCTCTATTAATCAAAGACATAATGAGAGTTTGTTTGACGATAAAATCCAAGATAATAGTACATTAACATCGAATACATCATCCCTATCGATTATTAAACACAGTGCCGAAAAGCCTCTAGTCTTTACCCACGGTAACAGACTTGAATCAGTATTGTATACATTTTTACCTCATCGACAATGCGAAGATGATTTATCGCTCTATCATTCTGCTGCTTGTTGTGGATTAAAACATTAAAAAAGAAATAGTAATTTCAATCCTTCATATGCAAAATGTTTTTAGAACAATTGACTAGTAAATCTCGCGATGGAACAGATTCCAATCATCGATCGGACGAAGATTACACAGATAACAAGAAACACCATTACATCCTAGATATGGTTCGATTAGGTGAACTCTCATAACCACATCGAATAAAAGTAAAAGTACAGAGTATGCTTTAGCAAGATTGTTGAATGCTATGGGAATCATTGCAGACTGTTTAAAAACAATCGAAGTCGATCTTCTATTACAAAAACGAACAGTAAAACGTTCGGAAATGATTCATCATAATGAAAAACATCTTTTAAAAAACATTGTATTATCATTAAAATTTATCTTTTATAAACGTATTCAGTCGTTAAAAACAGAGCTTGAGCAAGCATTAGATAGATAGAACTGGACAAGATTTTGAAAATACATCAATGAAGATTATATATTGAGAATTTCGCAAAGAATATTTATAAGTGTAGAATGAATATTTTATTCATTCAAGTTTGGTAATTATATTTCTTGTACTGGAAATTATTTCCATAAACACTGAATTGTTTTTGTTTATTTATGTTGATGTACAAAAAGGGTTTCGAACTTTTCTTGGTTGCTGCAGTTGAAACTCAAATATTTGAACAAACAGTTTTTTATTAAAAAAAGAAAACAGATGAAAATAAAGAACAATTAGAAACGAAAGAACTTTACAATAATTGTATGAAGTTCAAAAATGTTCAGTTACTCGTCAAAAAGGCAGCTGAAATTTACGTCATTAAGGTCATAGAAAACCTTGACTTATTTCAATTAGAATATGATTATTGCGTTAAAAACGTTGCGTTGATCTCGCTTAAATGGAGTTGTCTGATAAAAAGAAACATGTGCGAGTAGTGAAGAAGGCCATACTTACGTTACACTTAGGCTTCTTAACAAAATATTTCTTGACTGATTCGATCTTTATTCTTCACCAAGTGGCATCTGATTATACCTGCTGATTCCCAGTGCTTCTAAGACTGGAATAAATGTTCAAGTTTCAATATGTTAATGGACGGTAAAAGGAGTTACTTAGGGCTATCCAAAAGTAGTGAGGTAGATACTATTTTTTTTATAGAAAGCTTGAAAAATTTTTCTTTTTTTATGAACAGATAGAGCGTCTTTCGCTCTATTTTTCTATGCTATTTGATCACTATTCAACTAATATCATAATAATAAAATTTCGATAAGATCTATTTCTTTCGCATATGTACTGGTAGCATGAACATGAATGCTCGTGAGTATGTTTTGAATAATGTTGGATAGCAACAAGATAGAGAACTGCGGTTTTCACCATTGGAAAGAGAAGATGAAGACACATCGAATCATATATTACTGATTTTTCTAACCTGTTTTTTGTAAGGTTTTTAGTTGACCTTTTAAAGAACAACCCTATCCCGTGAGTTGTTTACAGTGAATTTCCAATAATCAAGTTCACATTCAAACCGCTAATCGAAGATCTACAAACTGCGAAAGACTCAGGTGTAAATGTAATTATTTGGGGATAATACGTATTCTAGACGAACCCTCTACTACGATTTTCGATCAACTTTTCTGTTCTTTCTTTTTTTCATAAAAAAAGCATTTTTCCGACGGTTAGAAAATTGAATAAAAACACTTCAGAAATCATATTAGAAAAATCAGTAATCTACAGTTCGATGTACCTTCATCTCCTCTTTCCAATGGTGAAAATCGCAGTTCTCTATCTTGTTGTTATCCAACGTTATTCAAAACACACTCACGAGCATTCATATTCATGCTACCAGTACATATACGAAAGAAATAGATCTTATCGAAATTTTATTATTATGATATTAGTTGAATAGTGATCAAATAGCATAGAAAAATAGAGCGAAAGACGCT